GCTATGAATGCAATCAACTAGGTCACTTAAAATTGGAATTTCCAATTTATGAAAAGAAGATGGAGAAGTCAAACAAAAAAAACTTCAAGGATAAGAAAAGCAAGAAAGTATATATCACTTGGGAAGAAAATGATATGAACTCTACAAGTGAGTCAGAAAATGAAGTTATAAATTTGGGACTCATGACCAAAGATTACGAAAGCGAAGAAGAGGTAACATCGTCTAACAATGATATCTATATTACCTTTGATGAATTGCAAGATGAATTTAATGATTTACACAAGGAATCTTTTAAACTTGCAAAATTAGTATCATCATATAAGAAAACAATTTCTAACTTGGAAAAAGAGATTTCGAAATTAAATAATGAATTAGATGATCTTAAAACTGAAATTAGTATAATAAATTCTAAAGAAGAAAATCAAGAGATTAAAAATAATTTAGAAACAAATAAAATAAATCATCCATGTTCAACATGCAATAGATTTAAAGAAGAAATTAGTAACCTAAGAAACACTCTTGCAAAATTTACTAGTGGAAGAAATAATTTGGATATAATATTAGGAAAACAAAAATGTGTATTTGATAAGGAAGGATTAGGATATAATCCTCAAAAACAACAAAAGAAATACAAAAATTTCTTTGTTCCCACACAAGTTACTAGTTCTCCATTCACAACATGTTTTTATTGTGGAAAGAAAGGTCATAATTCTTCAACTTGCTATATTAGAAAGAATTTTAACAATCTCAAGAATATGGTATGGATTCCTAAAGGTTCTTCTGTTATTACTAACATTAAGGACCCAAAGAAAGCTTGGGTACCAAAATCAATTCATTCTTTTTCTTGAAGGACTCCAAAGACCAAACTTGGTACATTGATAGTAAATGTTCCAAGCACGTGATAGGAGACAACAACAAAGGAAAAATACTTGGCATTGGAAGAATTGGTACAAACTTCTCAACCTCCATAGAAATTGTCTTACTTATGAATGGTCTTAAACATAGTTTATCAAGTGTGAGTCAATCATGTGATAAAGGTTTCTCTATATCTTTTGATTCACAAAAATGTCTTGTTGAACATAAAAATAATGAACATGTTATAATTATAAGAAACAAAGCTAGACTAGTTGCTAAAGGATATAATCAAGAAGAAGACATAGATTATGAAGAAACATATGCACTTGTAGCAAGACTAGAAACCATTAGAATGTTAATAGCCTATGCATCTATAATGAATTTCAAACTATATCAAATGGATGTCAAAAGTGCATTTCTGAATGATTTTATTCAAGAAGAAGTATATGTTGAACAACCATCTAGATTTGAAATCTTATAATTTCCAAACCATGTCTTTAAGTTGAAAAAGGTTATATATGGATTAAAACAAGCTCCTAGGGCATGGTATGAAAGACTTAGTAAATTTCTTTTGGAAAAAAGAATTTACAAAAGGAAAGGTTGATACAACATTAATTTATCAAAAGAAAAATGAATGATATTCTTAAAGTGCAAATTTATGTTGATGATTTATTTTTGAAAGTACAAATGATCACTTGTGCAAAGAGTTTTCTAATGATATGCAAGTGACTTTGAAATGTCCATGATGGGCGAGTTAAATTTTTCCTTGGACTTCAATTTGGCTTGATCTTTACCTTTGGATTATTTTGTTATTATATTCTTTTTGATGTTGCCAAAGGGGGAGAGTAAGGATAAGGATCACAAAAGGAAAAATACAACACTTATCTTAATCCTCTACTTAACTTTTTGATGTTGCCAAAGGGGGAGAGATAAGACTGCAAAGGAAAAGAAAATGTTTATTTTCTTTCTAACATTACTGTGGGCTAAGTTTGTCTAAAATATTTTGACAAAAATATTCTTGATGCCCAACTTGACACTTATGTTTTAAAAATATAAACATTGATCTCTACAATCTTTTTCAAAACATAAGTACAACTCCTTTTATAAAATAAAAGGAACTTCAATCAATGCTTTACTAAGGGGGAGTTTAAGGGGGAGTGATCGAAATATATTGTTTTATTTTCTTTCCCTTTACAGTGAATTGTCATCATCAAAAAGGGGGAGAATGTGGAAGAAAATATGCACAAAGTTTTGATGATGCCAAAGCATTGAAGAAAATAAAGGTCAAGTTAAAGCAAGCTGATCAAGAAGCAAGATCTCAAGTAATAACTAGATAAGTCTTGACTGCTTAGCTTAGTATGTAAAATGAACTTTTAGAATTTGCAAATTTGACTTGGCCATTAAAATAAGAATTTCAAGAAAACCTAAACTTAATACTTTTGAATATAAGAATAAGTTGTTTGAAAAGAAAGCAAAAAGAGTATTCAAAAGATTAAATAAAAATATTTTTAACTGGAAAATAGAAGCTCTTTATATCTTAGGTTTTCATAAGCCAAAACAAGTGACATGTTTCTGGTAATCGATTACCACTTGCTGTAATCGATTACCAGAGAAAGAAAACCTTTCAAAATGTTAAAATGCTCTCTGGTAATCGATTACCACTGACTGTAATCGATTACCAGAAGAGAAATTTCAAAATTCGAATTTGAACTATACAACGTTTCAAACATTTTGAACTTAAACCGTTGTAATCGATTACCAAGTCTTGTAATCGATTACCAGAGCCTATTTTCTGAAAAATTATAGAGAGTTACAACTCTTCATGAAAAGACATAACTCAAGATACAATTGTCTATAAATACCTATAATTTTTCAGAGAAAGGTGACGAACTCAATTGTGAAAAATTATCTTTACAAATCACTTGGCCAAAATCATTTGCAAAATCTCTAAAGAGTTCATCAAAGATCATGAAAGTGTAATATCCACTCTTCAAGAGAGTTATTCTGTATTACTTAATAGATCATTGGATCTGTAAAGGAGAAAGGGTTTTTCTCCTTGTTGGTGTTTGAATCTCAACACAAGGAAAGGGAGTTCCGAGGTGTTGGAGGATTCATTTTCTTGTAAGGTTTACAAGAGTAGTGGAATTCTCAAGTGGGAGACTTGAGGACTGGATGTAGGCAGGATTGGCCGAACCAGTATAAAATCAAGTTTGCAATTCTTCTTCCTTACACTTTTATTTATTTGTTATTTAATTGTGTTTGAGTTGTTCTTCATCATCATTCTTTACATGCAAATTTGTCTAAGGAAATAAAGTGATAAGAAAGTAATTGAAAAAGTTCTTATAAGAGGAAAATTTAGAAAACTTAATTCATCCCCCTTCTTAAGTTATACGAGGCTAAGGGACTAACACTTAGTTTGTGTGGTTGCAGTGCTTATGGAAGCTCGAAGTTTTTCCTTCTTCTCTTCTTCGATTTCAATTAGCTTAGAGTTGAGGTAAAGGGAAGTTAGGATGGATTGGTTGGTTGATTTGATGAAATTTTGTTGTTGTTGTTGTTTTCATCAAATGTGAGCTTGTATGTAACTGAAATCAAATTGAATGGTGAAGGGAAAAAATTGTTGGTGTTTTGAGTTATGAAGATGATTTTGAACAATTAGGGTTGCATGTGCATTTTGGACTTGAAATTTGGTTGTTTGAAGTAGTTATATAATTGTTTATATGTTGCATGTTGGAAACCTTTGTGTTTTAGGTGGATTGAGACAGTTTTTGAAGTCTGTAATTGTAAATTTCTAATGTCACACTAGACATGCCTTCACGGCGCTAAGCATAATTACAATCAAAGGTCTCTATCTCAATCATGCCAGATGTAGGATCAATGGTGTCAAACATGAGAAGAAAGACCCATCTCAAGTTAGGATGACATTGAGTGTGAGAATTGGAAAACCTCTAACTTTGTGATGTTAACCCCAAATTGGATGGTGCCAAGCGTGATCAAGGCAGAGACTCTACCTAGACAATGTTGGACGTCAATGAGGTGACGTTAAGTGTAAGTTAGGTAGAGACTCTCTGTCTGATACGAGGTCGAACATGAATTTTGTCATGCTAGGTTGGATATCTTCAAGGGTTCCCTTCCTTAGTCATGTCATATGCGAGTTGAGTGGCGATGGATGTGAACAAGGCACATAACTCCCTACTTTAGTAGTGTTGGACACGAGTTGTGATGATGATACCTGCTGTTTCATGGGTGAACCAGTGATCATGAATATAATAATAAAGTTTATTGCATATTGTATGATATATGATGAATGATGAGTTTATATATGTTAATTTGTGATTGATATATGTAAACGTGGTATGGTGTATTATGATGATGAACATTGGTATGTTATTTCATGTATAATTGAAATGTTGATAAGCATTTGCATGCTACCCTTTTGTATGATTAGTCATAATAAAATGATAAAATAATTTAATCAAAATGCGTATAGAAAAATAAAAGAAATTGTCAATTATTAATAGTAAAAATTATAGATAGATATATTTATCTTAAGTAATTATTATAATATTACAATAAGTATCTATTACTAAGAACAGTAACAATATGTGACAGAATCGTATATAAGATAAATATGTTTCTATAAATTGTGATGCCGAAATACACGCATAAAATAATAAATAAAAGGGATAGACTCTTTTAGTATTTACTTTTAGAAAATTAATTATATTCCTATTTTATATTCTAATTTCAATTTACTAATACATATGTTAAAGATGAAATAAAAAAATACATAAACAACTTTTTTTATTGGAAAAAAATTGCTCATCTATTTAAAAATATTTTTTTTTTTGTTTTTCATGAAAGATATTTTTCTTATTAATATATGATAAAGAATCTACTATAAAACTAATTAAACTAACTTCATTTAATAAACTTACTTTACTTAATAACACATGTCTTACATTAATAATTTTTAAAAAAAATTAAATTTTTTTAAAATTTAAATTTATTTATTTATATAATTTATTATAAATTTTAATTATATACAATAAATCCACATGAATTGCATAAGTTAAAATACCCTGATTCTTATTTTCTAACGGGACAATCAGTGATCAACGAAGAAGAAGAAGAAGAAGAAGAAAGAGAGAGAGAGAGAGAAAGGAGGGAAAATGGAAGAATCAACGAAGAAAGGGACTGTCACCTCACTCGCCTCCCTCTTCCCAGTAGAGGAGGCGCAGAAGGCGTCCAAGCGCGTGGAAGACGCCATTGCCGACGCACAAAACGAGCTTCACCGCGTACGAGGTTTCGTCACCGACAACAACAACCTCGTCAACCTCGTCCACAAGCTCCCCGAACAACTCTCCCACCACATCATGGTAACAAATATCACAAACTATTACTTCTTCTATAGTCCACCTTTTCAGTTCACCACAAAGTGTTGTAAACCTCAATTTTATAAGACTCGGTTATGGATTCTTAGGTTCCGTTTGGGAAAGCAGCGTTCTTCCCCGGTCGTTTGATTCACACCAACGAGTTCCTGGTGCGCGTTTTCTTCACTTTGATTCTTCGATTGAGTGTGGCGCGTTTTTTCTGTGGCTGGAGGTTTTGTTTTGTTTTTGGTTGTTAGGTTCTTTTGGGAGAAGGGTACTATGCAGAGAGGACGTCGAAGCAAACCGTTGAGATTTTGCAACGAAGAGGGAAGTCCTTGGATTCGCAGGTTAATTCTCTCGAAGCCAATATCAAGGACCTTCAAGCAGAGCTATCGTTTTTCAATGCCACGGCTTCTCAAGTTGCGGTGAGGCTTCACTTCTTGTTTGTTTGTAATTTCTCAATACATAGTTAATTACTTATCGGAGAAGAAAGTAAAAGGGTAAAATAAATGAACTTTTGTTAGTTAAGTAAAATTAGCTTATGTAGAAGTTGCTTGTGGAGAAGTTAAATGGGAGGGCTTTTATAAATTTATTTTACCTTGGGAGAAACTCAATTCATTATACTTATTTTCTTATCCCATAAGTGCTTATTGAAAAGTTTATCTAAATATGGCTCACTCTAACCACTTTTTGATCAGCTTGAATTTGATTCGTGTAGAGACAATTTTGACGTTGGCATATGTATTTTGTTTTGAAAATGGTATGTTATGAATTTGTGGATCAATGTTTTAGATATCATGGCCGAGAGGTTTCTGGTTCATGTTTAATGGGTTAAATTTTTGTTGAACTGATTAATGTTCAAACTAGGAACATAACGGATTCAGGGTTTGACTGGTTCTAATGTGTGGTTTGGTTTGGTTTTACAAACATTATTGTACATTCATTGTTCTTTTTTTACTTTCTAAGGGTTGTTGGGGGTATGTGGTTGTTAAATGGCTTCATGCAAAAAAGGGGGTTGTGCTCTAATGTGTATTGGTTTTTAGTTTTCAAGTGTTTTCTTAACTAACCCTGGTTTCCTGTGTGTAGAAATAGGTTTAATATCCGATATACTGATTACTATTTACTAGGTTCATTAGTTATTATATAATTACCAGGTTCATTTCTATTTGCTAGACTTGTTATCATTCATTACTGTACATGTTAATTGTACCTTACTATAGAGACGCAATATAAATGTGATATCATACTAAGTTCAGCATTTTTTATTGAACCATTCATCCAAATTAGGATGTTTTCCTCTATCTTCATATTATCAAGAGCCTAGTATGTTTTCTTTTTCAAATTTTTGCTTCTGCGTATTTCTCTCTCCTCCACGGTGGTGATATTGTCATTACTGGTTTTGTTGATGGTGGCATAGGTCAACCAAAACTATCTATTTCACAATTTTAAGAGAAAAAATCTGGGTTGTCTTGCATACTTTCTTGGTATTGAAGTATTGTAGTCCTTTGATCGTATTGGTAGGTGTCGCTATTTGTGTAGGAAAATATGTTTTTGATATTTTAGAAGTAATTGTTATGTCAAATTGCAGACTTATAGGAACTCCTATGGATTTGAAGTTTGTATAGATTATTAATTGCTCTTGTGGCTTAATTTGGCATAGGAGGGTCTTGTGGAGATAACAGAAGATTATAAGGAGGAAGACTCTAACGAAGGGGAATCTAAACCAGGCATGTTCTTGCCTTCTATTGTTTTCCTTCCAAGATTTAATATTGATATAAGATGATAGTCAAAGTTCATTACTTTATTATAAATGGAAGCTGGTAGAGAGTAGAATGGAAAGACTAAAGAGTAATGATACACGTACAATAATTCATAAAATAATTTGTACAACATTAATTTTTGTTTCTATCTCTCTTCATCATTAATAAATGTAATAAATGATGTAATGGAGACAGATAGACACAAAAATTGATGTAGAATTTGTGGTACAAGTATCATTTCCCAAGACTAAATAAGTTGATGTCTTTTGTTTCCAAAGAGGGGTCCAGACCATTTAGATTATTCAAATAGCAGTAATTGTCATCCTCTGGCAAATTTAATCTGACTTGTGCTTCACTTTGATTTTTTTTTTTTTAATTCTACTATGATTTGTTGGCATTAGCATTTATGATTAATTATTTTGACGTGTCTGCAAATATTTTGGTAGATTTGCATGAAAGATTTGAAATTTTTTTATCTTTTTATTTTAAACACTAAATTTTTGTTTTCTATTTTTCTCCAAGCTATCATATGTTTATTCAAGTAATTTTTATATTTCAAATCAGTTGTACAACAAAACATGAACTACCAAATGGAACTCATGAGCAGTAATACATGTGGATACGCAACTGTATATAACTATGGTTTGTATGTCAAAAGACACCCATTTATAACTATGTTTTGTATGTGGATAGACAACCATTTATAACTATTTTTAGTATAGTAGTGTTGGTATAATTTTATGCTTTTTTCCTAAGTTGAAAAACATTTTTTTCTTTGAATAGTTTTCATTGACTTCTAATTGCCCTTTTCCTTTTGATTTCATTGCATTGGTGAAAGAAAAGAAAATGAAAAAATAACAAATCATTGAATTGTTTGATTCATATTGATGATATGTAATTGCATTGAGCCATCAATTCATTGTATCGTTATGGGCTGATTCACTGGTCATTGAAAAACCAGCAAATTCATGCATAGCAGCTGGATGTCTAAAGTAGAGTCAATGTGATTGTACAGTTTGACTTTGTAAATCTGTTATTTTCTCTTCAATTAGGTTAGGTATATTATTTATGATAGTTTAGCTAATTTATTGGAAAAATATTGGCTTGTATTAAACAATATTTGCATGAGAATTCTCCAGCAGGGTACAAGATTTTGTCCAAACTTTGTGAGCTTGACAGCTACTGCTGTGTATGTTTTTTACATGGTGTCTCTTTTGTTCAAAATTTAGTTCATATTTTAGTGTAGAACTATGCACCAACCAATGACCATACTTGTAAATTTGTTGGCAATTTTGAAATAATGATTGAATGAAATGTTAATATCCTTTTTCTCAGGTCCACTGCAGCAAGATGCTCCTAATTTGGGAAATGCTACAGATAATGATGAGGATTATGCTCGTATGATGGCAATAATGGATGAACTTGAGAAAGAAGAGCTTGCTGCAGAAAGTGGCAATCACAGTGATCAAAATGATGAAAGTACTGCTGATTTTGATGAGATATCATACAGAGGGCATATTGATAACAATCTCCAAAGTTCAAAAGTAATATCTTGATTATTTTGTTGAATTCTGGTAATCTTGTTTAGGGGCTATATGAGTACAATGGATTGTGATATCTTATAAATCATTTTCTATGACTGCTTAAACAGGATTTTCAGCAAAGTGCGCTACTGGACCAGACTAATGATGAAGTTATAGCAACTGAGTTTCCTAAAAAACACATTCATAGAGATGTAACTGATCAGTTGAATGTAAGATATTATCTGCCTGTGTCATAGTTCAGCATTAAATTTGTTTAGTATGCTATGTAACTCGACATCTGAAGAAGCATGCTTTTGCATTCTAATTTTCAAAATGCAGTTTAGTAACCTGGCAGTGCAATCTAGGGTCAGAGGTTAGTCCTCAATAGCTTGCATCTCATTTTCTTTGTGTTTGCACATTTTGTAGTTCTGTCTGCTGTTTAACATCCATACTGAATTTAATTTTTCCAATGGGTCTGAACTAGCAGAGGGGGAAAGTTTTGCAGAGTTTGTAGAATCCACTGATCCTACTGAAAAGATTCCTGTTCTTTCTAAAGAAAAGGCTGTTCGAGCTACTACTGCATCAAAAACTGAGGTATTCTGTTCTTGTGATGAAATTCCCATCATAATTCTCTGCTTGTTGTGTAGTGGTTTATACCGCTTTGGAACCAAATGGAAATACTGCCTTGCTTTGCTTTGAGATAACCGACTAATGTCTGTTTTCTAGTTGGAAGTAACATGCAGCTTTAATATTTCAGTTTTTCAGTTTGTCTTTAACCATATTGAGGTTACATTGTTCTCCTCTCTCTTAAATAATACATAATAGTGTGCCTCTTGGTATCCCTAAATTCCATGCTTCTGTGCTTCCTTATGAGCCTGCTCCACAAGGTTATCAACAGTATCACCATTTCCATTTGTCAAAGGTTGGGCATCTGATATCAGGAGAAAGTGACATAAAGCCTACAAATATGCAACAAGTCACCATTTGTTTATGAACCATAGCGTAGCTCTGAAGGAATCAAGGGTGTAATCTGATTGGAGGATGCTTAGATGTCCAGTTAAAAGATTTAAATAAGCTAGAGTTAGGAACTAATGAAAACTGAAATTTTGATATTTGAAATTTAGTAAACATGTTAAGACTTAAGAGTAAGGTTGTACGGAAACAAGGAAGTATGAGTGCTTTCAGCGTTACACTTAAGTAGTGATTTAAATGTTTCAAAGAACTAGAAAGAAAACTATTTAGGTGCTTTCGTCTTGCAGCATGTTGATTTCAGGAGAATTGGTCCTTGACTTGTACAATTATTTCCTTTTCAGGTTCGACACCAAACTCCACAACCATCATTTGACAGTCGCAAGGTGTGTTCACACTTCATAATTTTTATCCTCAGTCTTAATGCTCTGCAACAAGCAACAGCAGATAGTTTTCTCTAATAATATTTTCTGCAGGCTTTTACAGGCTCTATTATAGAGCATACTGATAATTTACAAAAAGCTTCAAGAAACCAAAGTTCAGCTTCATCACAGGTATTTACTGATATATTTTGCCCATAAATAAAAAGATTTTATAAACATGGTTTTTGTACATGTTGCTTTGCTGTTTCATCATTGACTTAAATCTTGCTAATCTCAATTTTGACCTTCACAGGGTTCCAGTTCTCAATCTTCAAAACCAGTCTCCAGATTCAAAATCCAGAGAAGATAGTTACAAGATGAGAAGGTTGGAATCTTTTTGTATTTGGTGATCTAATGGTGTAGCATCCATGATTCTAGGATGTGCTGGTTGAGATCGGAAGTGGAAAGAGTAAAAGTAGGATAAACCGTTATGAGTAACGAAAAATTTAGGACATGTTTGATTCTCCTCATTTTTTTTAATTTATTTTTGTTTTAAAAATTGTTTTCAAAACAATTTCACACTACTCACTAATCAAATTTTCATCCAGTTTTCTTTTAAATTATTTCCAAAACAAGCATTTTAAAAAATAAGAAAAAAATAGTAAAGAGGCTTTTTCATCCTTTTTCTTCAAGTGCTTTGTTTAAGTGCTTAGGGGACAAACTTTTAGGAAACAGAAATGTGCTCAGGTTATAAACACTTCAAAATGTACTTGAGGGATAAACAAATGTTAGCAAACAGATAACTGTTTTTTGAATTAACGTCCTTTCCTGGTAGAAGAAAGAAATGGAAGAAATGAAAATAGAATTTAACATTCTTTAAACAAAGACTGTGTAATGTTTCAAGCGGCTTTGCTATGTTTTATAGAATTGTAATTGAAAGTCTATTTGTAATGTATAATTTTTGAAGCGTGAACTGTATAGATAACATTTTGAAACATAAGTTGGTATCAACATTGTCGCATTACTGTTTTTACTTGGTGTGTGATTGAAAGATGAAATCCTCAAATTTCAGCTTTTTTGTTTTAATGGAAAAAAACTTATTTATAGAATAAGTTCCTTGTGTGGAAAACTAGTTAATATTTATAATAACTTTTTTCCTTGAAAAGTAAGTTATTTTTATGAAGAGTTAATCACTTATACACTGTCAGTGTAAAAAAATCAATTATAATTGATTTTTTTACACTGACAGTGTATAGGTGATTAATTCTTTTATGAATATGGAGATTTGAAACTTATTATTTTTCAATAGGTATTTTTTTTCTTCTAAAGCTTCTTTATTACATAATATTATTCTTTTTTGTATTCAAACAAAATTAAGTATCTCAAAAACGTTTTTCAACAAGCTTTTTTAAACAAAAATTTGTTTTGATTATAATTGATCATAACAATAAATAATTATGTATATAATTGATTATTGAAATAACTTATTTTTTATATATTTTTTAAATACACCTAAATTTATTCGTTCCTATCTTAGTTTTTCATCTCTCAAAATCTATGCATTTTTTAGGTGTTTATCACTATTATTTATCAACGGATAATATTTTACAAGAATTAAAATTAAAATCTATTCATTTTACAAAGATGAAAAATAATGTTTATAAATTTTTAAAAATATAAAGTAAATAAAAAATTATAGAAAACTCATTTTATAAGTAAAACAAACATATTCAAGTTATAATTAAAGAGTCAAAGTATGTTTGATTGGACTTGACTTGATGTAAAACTCAACCATGGAAATGGTCGGGTATATTTGTGTGTATTTTTTTTTGTTTTTTTTTTTTAATCTAGCTCGACTTAAATCGTGTTGTATTAAGATAAATATGTTAATTTATTAAAATATTATAAAATTTTGAATTAATCTGAATTATGTTATTTTTCAAATGATTATATTGTCAAGTATGTTTATTCTAAATTTAATTCTAATTAAATGATTTGTAACTGTCAATATATGTCGAAGTTAAAAATATGTGTTGTTCCAAGTTATACTAAGATTAAGCTTTAGTTAATAGATTTCGTCGATCAATTTTCCTAATTTACAGCTTAGTTATTTTATTTTATTTTTTGTAATTCATTATAAAAAATTAGAAAATATTGAATTTATGCTAACACAAGAAAATTGTCAATAAAATTATGAAATGACATTCTTTTGACCCGTTTTTCTTTTTATCCTTGTCACTTAGGAAAGGCACGAAAAATACTAATATGAAACATGATTAATATGTTTCCCAAACACTAATACTATACGATTAATAATTGTATCAACCAAATATATAATTAGTACTTTATTAATACTTATTTTAGGTCGAACTGGATGATCAGAAACTTATTAATTGTGACCCAACCAATTATAATTGGCTTAACAAGAAATGTCCAATCCAATCCTCTAAAATGTAGTTGGGAAGAGTTGATTGGATTCCCAGGTTAATTTTTTTTTATTATAATTTTCTGTATAACAAAAAATAGTAAGGGGAAATAAAAGGCATATATATGATGGTTAATTTGATAAAGATATAGAGAAAAATAGTACTATAAAAAAGTATTATAAAAAATATCATGGAAAACTATTGTATAAATGATCTAACTCATTCAAATCATATACCTTGAATTATTATTTCAAGACCATTTTTATTAAATAATTATTTCATCATGCCGTAAGGCTCGAAATAACAGCAAGATTATCATATGTAAACGTTACAATGCTTGGAACACAAATTTAACATATTCAATTTGTGAAAAAGAAATATCTGACTATACATCCGTATGTACAAAAATTTACACAACAAATAAATGTTATGGTTCTGTAAGTAATAATACATGGAAGACCTTTTGCCATCCCTAATAACCACCCTTCAACCATTAGGTATCTTTTTTTTTCTTCTTGTAGTCAAGAAGCACTTTTTCTCTCTCAAGTGGTGTCGCTGATAGTAACCATTTGCTAAAAGCAAGCTCTCCCATGCCCATAGACTGAGCAAGGAGCCTATATTGGCCTCTCTTCCTTTCATCAATCAAAGGAACTTTGTGTCTTTTTTTTCTTTGGTGGTCCAAAGAGATGCTTGGCTTGACTAGAGTATCATTTGAAGGGATGCTGGTATCTATTTTCCCTTGAATCCCAGGTCCGAAGTTGACAATGTCTTCATTGCGATGAGCATAGACAATGCCTAAACATACAAAACATCAGTTGACTAAATGGAAATTCATTATGCCATTTCCCAAAAGTAAAAGCAGAGATAGATTCAGAAGCTTTGCTCCCTCATTTCAAGTGCCACCATAAGCAAAGATTCAATGGGTTGAAGCTGTTCAATCCAATTTCTATTATTTTTTTGTGATGACAGTGTGAATGGAAATATGAAGTTCCATAAAATGCTAAGAAAACACTTTGTTTTACTTATTACTTATATGTTTATGTATATGAAGACATGTCCATTATCAGCCAACATAAATCACTGCTAGTAAATGTCTGCCCCTATGATATATTAGAAGGCCAAGAGAAATAAACTTATCAGTTCACTAACTTCCTAACTGTTTTCTCTCATTGACAGTATCTTTATGATAAAAGAAAACAAGAAATTTCAGTGGATGAGGTTTAGGAGATATGAAACATACCAAGGTCTTCAAGATCTGGTTTACTTGATTCAGCCCTTGTAGATTTATCACATAATCTGGTTTCTGACTCTGATACCGATGAACCTGTTTCTTCTGACAGATTTACTTTTTCCGGTTGTTCTGTTTCATGCCATTGTTCTTTATGCAATTCAATGATCTCACTGGTAAATAGCTTATCAGATAAATCTCGAAATAAATTGGAAATCCCGAAAAGCTCTCCTTGAAACTCCTTGCAGTCCTGCAAGGAAGTAGCTATTATTTAGAATTATTTGATAAAAAATAATATTAAAGAACAAATGAAGAAATGCAATACCAAAAAGACACAGAATTTGATACCTGGACACCTTCAAAATATCGTTTTTCCATCTTTCCAGAGACAGCAATGTTTGAGAGCTGCTGCTTGTACACCTGACGTGTGTAAACAAGTTCTTCAAGAGAACCAGCTGCAAGAAGACGGAACACCACGACATGCCGTTTCTGTCCATAACGAAAGGACCTGTCCTGAGCCTGTAAGTCTTGTGCAGGGTTCCAGTTGGGATCAAATATTACAACACGGTTTGCACTGACAAGGTTCAATCCAAGCCCACCAGCACGAGTTGATATCACGAACACCTAAAATAATAAACAAGCACACTTTAGAAAATAAAATTGGAAAAATGCTTAACCAACTATGAGGTTTCTGATATACTTGTTTGCTTGGACTTGAGTTGAAATCATCAACCAGAGATTGACGTAAATTAGTCGGAGTGGACCCATCAAGTCTTGAGAAGCAGTAGCCTTTTCGTATTAGAAATTTCTCTAGTATGTCCAGCATCCTGGAAAGAGTAGCTCAAAGTTAAACAGCAGAAGAAAAATATGTTTCAGAAAAAAAACAAGGCACATGAAGAGAGCATTTACTAATATGCCAACAAAATTTCAGTGCTAGGGTCATCTTAAGACTGGTACCACCATTATGGCATAAAGGAAATAAATAAGAGGAAGTTGTCTACAGTACAAGCTAGACTTATGCGTTTGAGTTTGAAAGCAGGAATCTAACTAAAGGCAACAAGAAAAATCATCAAACATGATCTGAAGGGTATATTACTTATTCACCTTACGGAATAGCTAAACAAAAGAACTTTGTCACCCTGTGAAAACCATGAGAATAATAGTTTTTCAAGTGCTCGCATTTTGCCACAATGTTTCACATCACTGAGACCCATGAAACTTTCATTTTGTGTGTTTCCACCCACTAAATCAATATCAGGGCCAAACACAGCAGCTGCAAACTCCGCATCTTTACTTTGTTTGTCGGGGTCGTCTTTGGGGTTTGGCTTAATCAGCTCAAGGTGATTGCTTATCTAGCAAAAAGATACATAAATAAGTAACATCATAATAATGTAGAGAAGCATCATGAGCATGGTAATTGAAATTGAATTGATAAGTTTGTTCATGGAAGTAGACCATTAAACAAAGTATGAACTGAAAGGCAACGGTGCTCCAAACTTTTCAGTCAAAAATTAAGTGTGGATTATAATTGCTGCAAAACTAATACTGCTTGTACAACCGTACCTTAAGGATCTCACAACAAAAGCATTAATGAAATTGGCAATTAAAATGACATATCCTTGGTTCATCTTAGAATGTTAGTTTAGATCTAACTCAACTTCACAAAACTTACTTTTAAAGTGAAAGTTGTCCTCCCACTTATATACACTACTTTGATCTTATCACTAGTTAATATGAGATTTTTAATACAGATCCTTCTCACCAAGAATTAAATATCTTGAATGTGAAATTTGCAAAACTAAACATCTACAAATGGTCTGATAATGACCTGATAGACCCAATAACAACCATTAGGATAAACTTAGATTCCATATTAGAATGTGAGTTTGGGAATAACTCAATCTTACAAAATTGATTAGTTTAGTGTGAATTTCGCCCCACTTACATACACTACTACTTAGGCCTTATTACTAGTTGAGATGAGATCTCCAACAGTTCACTTACTAGTTCTCTTGGTCTGATAATGACCTGATAGACCCAATAACAACCATTAGGATAAACTTAGATTCCATATTAGAATGTGAGTTTGGGAATAACTCAATCTTACAAAATTGATTAGTTTAGTGTGAATTTCGCCCCACTTACATACACTACTACTTAGGCCTTATTACTAGTTGAGATGAGATCTCCAACAGTTCACTTACTAGTTCTCTTTCCCACTTCTTTTATATAAAATCCTGAGCCTTTTGTATACATTAATTTTTCCACAGAAAACATACATCTCATTCAACATAATTCAATGTGAAAAATAGAGAATCCTGTACATAAACCAGATCTGGAATCGTGATCAATTAATTACCTGTATGCAAAAGGTAAAAAAAAAAAAAAAAAGGGAACTATTTTTAATATAATTATGCAATGTAACACAACGTCAATATAAGGCTAGCATTATGGTGGCATTGAAAAATGAGCAACATCCATCATCATGTAATTAAGAGCACTTGAATTTCATGTGCAAGATTTAAATTTTAAATTTATTGTCAAACAATATCCTTTTAAAATTGAACATTGATATCCTTGTCATCATCTACTTTTATCTTTATAGATAACAAACATATTTTCTCGCATTAAGCTGTTGCCCTCCCTTCTCTTCTCTATTACAATTGTTGAGTTGAATCATAAGAAATATTTTCCTACAATAATAAAGAAGAAACTCCTACAAATGTATAAACTTGCAACAGATGACCAGTGCTACGAAGAAAGTAGTTCTTAACAATAAATTTTGCAAGGAAGTATAATAAAAAATAGAGACAAGAAACTTCAAAGATCTCATTTAACCTGTTGGAGCTTGACAAGGCATGGAAGGACAAGGCAAAAGGGGCATGAATCACAACCATCAGGGTTATCTCTATGCAGGTAAGGCCAAATAACTCCATCTGGTACTATCCTCTTGCAACATTCAACTTGAGTAAGAGGGCTACCACAACTACAAGGCAGGTTCTTATTTATAAGGCATTGAATGTCAGGAAGCTGTAACATTCTCCTGTAAACACGTTTTTGCACATCACTCATTGCACAAAATACGATGTTATCTTCCTTCCCCATCATAAGATGCCCAATGGTCTCTTCCTTTGTCCTTCTCAACATATATTTATGAAGAACTGTCACAAGGTGTTGTTTTCTCTTATTAGCAATTTGGACAAACCTATCAGGAGCAGTTGATCTCTGGCCTTGCTTAAGTGGTTCATCATAGAACTCACGAAAGTGTTCCCGTGTTCCAAGGGATCCAGGAGCAACCCAGTCAAAGAGATTGAACAATTCCATGATCTTATTTTGCATTATAGTCCCGGTGAGACCATAACGTCTTAGGGTTTTAATTTCTAAACATGCTTTATAGAGTTTTGATTTCTCATTCTTAAGTCGATGAGCCTCATCAATAATCACAATTTTCCAGTTGACATCTGACAAGGAACTTCCATGAATCCTGTATGTGTCAAAACTGGTAATAAGTATCTCCACTCCATTTGCTCTCAATTTATCATGTATCAAATCCCGGTTTGCACCATGATAAATGGAAACACTGAAGTTAGACCACTTAGAGAATTCGCTCTCCCAGTTGTGGATAACAGAAGTTGGGCAAATTATTAATGCAGGCTCTCTTTTCACTTCCCAGTTTTCCTTTAGAGTAGAATGTCCTTCTTTACCAAAGATGGCAGCTAGAAATGCTATTGCTTGAATGGTCTTTCCGAGACCCCTGTTTCAAATTTCAATATCTCAAAAATGAACTTCAACTTGGCAATTAACTATTTACAGCTGAAATCATGAGGAAATGAACCAAATTTCACACAAAAACATGATTATAAAATATACCAACAGAAAATATAGACAAAAAACAGAAGGGAAATCCACAAATTTATAGGGCTCAAATAGGATCAGAAGACGCAACTTGTGGTTCTATAACTTTCAGAAAGAATAACTCAAGATATAAAGATGAAGAATACAGAAATTTCTCGGTATTAAAATGTCATTAGAATTTTAAAACAAGAAGTAGTTGAGCCAAAAATTAAATAAAATTAAAACATTAACCTATATACCTTTTTAGTTAAATTGAAACATTCAAGCTTTTTATCTTGAAAGTTGAAATACATATAACATTATTGTCATGTATTTTTTAGGGAGTGAAGAAATGAACTTATATACAGGCTGAGTTTGAATGAACATTTTCTTTTAAGATATTAAGTTCAGATATATGAGCATTGAATTCCATCAGAACATGTGTTGGATCAGTATAATAGTATTAGGAGCATTACATGCCCATAATAGTATGGTACAATGGATTTTTCTCAAACATAATTGTTTTTAACTTATTTCCCTAAAGTTTATTTTTGGCTAAATTACTAAGTAGGTCCCTGAACTATTTAGAAATTTAACCTTTATTTTTTCCTCAGTTAACCCCCATGTAGCTTGGTTTTAAATGCAAAAATTACATTTTCAGTTGAATGAAATCAAATGGAAGTTAATCAGCAAACACTTCAAACCAAACATTAAAAGGATTAAGAGATAAATATACAAACTTCAAGAAAAAAAATGTTTTTGAAATGCTAAGGATATTGGTGTGAAAATGTCTCGTGTTCAGTTTCTTTACCCAAAAATATAACATTTCACTTAAAATAAAAAATCAAGGGGGTTATGTTATAAAAATAAAACCATAGGGGGTTAAATAGAAACCACTACATGCCCTAATAGCATGTACCATGGTAAGTTTAGCATAACAGGGTTGTCAAGAGTTCCAAAAGCATATTTTTGTAAGCATGTAGCCCAAAATAGCAGGAAAAAAAGTCACCATAACTGTTTTATAAAATAAAACTCCATCCGTTAGAATTTTCAAAATTACGCAAAACTAAAAGTCATGTTGTGCTTGAGAATGAGATTGAGAATTCCAGAACAAGCTAATTTGTCAGACACACAAGTCATCATGTATCCATACAACATGTATAAAACTAATATAACTGAAGGGAGTATCCAAATAACAAAAAGAATATAAATTCAAGAAGACAGAAAGATGCTGCAAGCCAAGAGAGGCCAAACAGAGAAGGTAGGAGGATATAATTTGCAACTCACATGTCATCTCCAAGTATGCCTCCATGATTGTTTTTGTACAAACCATACAAAAACTTCACCCCCTCTCTTTGATGCTCAAGCAGTCTACAATTTATAGATGCAGGAACCTGAAACAGCCAACAACAGTTCACAACAACATTCAATCTTGTTTTAAATTTCAGCACTTTCAAGTTACAGCATCTATCCAAAATTCAAAAATCATTCAATTCACAAATGCTAAACATCTTTTTAGTATAGACTACAAGTATCCTCCACCAAAGGCACTCCAAGACCACTATTAACAATAAAACTCTCCCTCCGAGTATTTAACACAATTTTATACCAAAACTCAAATTCGAGACCTCTAATTAAGCTAAAACAATCTAGGGCATTATGCTAACCACAAACAATAATTTCTATAAAAACCAGAGCATTTAATAAATTTACAAACATTGTGCAATCCATCCAGTACCATAAACACCATATTCATCTTTAAATGGAATCCAATCATCCCGTGCACAACTGTTATAATTACAAACAGACTCCCTGCAGTCACACACCATAATTCGTCTCCGTTGAACGAAGATCAGACGGTACAAATTGGACGAATGTTTCAATTTGTATCTACCAAGATAAAACATGAGCCGTCTGATCTTCATCCAAAGGTGGAGGTCAAATTTGGTGACTGTGCTGAATCCTAATTACAGGGAATGAAGAATTAGCGACCTGAACCACAGGAAGTTGTCCTTGTGAAGACAGCAGCAGAGGCTCAAAGGGTCCGGTGTGATCAATTTGAAAGTGTGGCAATTTGGGTGAAGCGAATTGCTTTCTCTTAATCTCTTCTTCTTCTTCTTCTTCTTCTGGTTTTTGTAGGGTTTTGGAGTGTGTTTGGGTAAGTGGGTTGTGGGGTTGAAGAGGGGATTCGTAAAGACGGCGAAGCTGGTGGGAGAGAGAGGATTTAGGGGGTTTTCTAGGGATTGGGAAGAGGGAATCGCTGTCGCGAAGAATTGAATTGGGGTCTGTTAGTGTTTGGGAAATTGAAGAAGAAGAAGAAGAAGAAAAGGAAGAGGGATTTTGGGTTGAGCAACGTCGCAGAGATTCCTTCAGAGCTTGCAGTGACATGGCTTCATGCGCAAAGCGCAAAGTTTGAATTTTTATGGGGTTTTCGTTTTCTTTTGTTTTCTTTTCAATACTGCAATTGTTAACCGCCAAATTCGATTTTCTGGTATTGTTTCTCCACGTTGCCCAAAGATTTTCACTACAACAGTTTTCCTTTTTCCAACTTTTTTTTTTCCTTCAGAATTTTGGTTATCATATGAAGTTTTCTATATAAGTAAAAAGTATATCATTAGATGTATAAATAAATAAATAATATTATATTGTATTAAAAATTAATATTAAAATAATACTTATTTTGAGACATTTTTTTTCTTATACAACACTTATTATGAAGTGTTAATAATGAGATTTTAGTTAAATAATAACTTTGAAATGAAACTGCTCTATAGTCAACTTCCTAATGGAGTACTATAAGTATCTAATTTCAAGGTAGCTTATACTCCTTTAGTAAGATTATTAATGATAAAATTGAGAAACTTTGGAGATGAATAATTATCATGCCCACAAAATAGTTATGATAAAGAGAGAATATAGTATAATCTATCTTGAAGATAGAAGTAAAATTATAGAGAGTTTATGTATCAATATGAAATTGAAACATAAAAATATATATTAGATTGAGACACTTGTATAGTTTAATTAATAAAAAAGATGTGTATGTGGAATTGACTTAATAAATTTTCTTTAGAATTTAAGACACAAACTTCTATAAGATAAGATCTTAAGAGACATTGAGTCAAAAAAAAATCAATCTATGTTTTCCATGTAGACCACACTCAATAAGGGTTTATTTGGAAATTGAGGTTGGAATCATCAAAATAAAGATGTTTGCAACTTCATATCTTCCACACAAGTCACACTATCTAAGGATACACAAGTCACACTATCTAAGGATTCACATGAATTGTGAAGTTAACATATGTGAAAAAGTGACATGTTAAGTTTTTGTGAAAGCTTTAAGAGTAGAGGCCTATAATGATTTTCAAATAAAAAAATCGCTATATTCACTCACAATAAATCTAAACAAAGTTAGAATGACACCAACTATAAATTAAATAGTCCTTATTACAACAAGAATACACTAAAGATCAAGATGATATTATAAAGACTTTATCACAGTGATATCCATCATAATAAAACTCTCATTCCTCCTATTATAAAAATAAACCTTTGTAACTTTCTTTTTTGAAATAACATATTTGAAATAATTTTGTGATTGATATTTATACAATATTTTTTAATCATGATTACGTATAAGGAAAAAATAAGGAATCAATTTTAGTTATTAAATTTATGATTCTTAATTTGTAATCATGGTTACATGTATAATTAATTTCTCAGATTTTTATTAATTTATTTTTTATAAACTAAAATTAAGTGAATGATGACTAACAACTTTTTTTATTTTGAATATTATTACGATATGTAATGTCTTTTTTAAAAGTTACTTAGTTATTTTTTAAATTTTAATATTTTATTTTCAATCAAGATTTAATTTGTAGTTGTTTAATTTTTAAAATAAGACAAAATTTTGTAAGTACTTAAATAATAATATGTCAAAATACCTTATTAAATAAGATTTTATAAGTCAAAATTTTGTAAGTACTTAAATAATATTATTATTAAATAATAATATGTCAAAATTTTATAAGTGTTTATCAACATGTATATATAAATGTAACAATTTATTAAATTTTTAAGTATTTATATCATAAGTTCTTATTATATAATAACTTATTAAATAAGATTTTAATTAAATTATTTATCCAAATGAATCTTTAATTCGTATAAAATTACTTTTTTATTATTTTTTAAATAAATTTTATATATTTTTTACCACATCATTAATGCATGTTCGTGTCAAAAAATCATATCATTCATATATGTCATGTGTATGTATTGTGATATTATAAAAAACATCATGATTGCATTAAAGAGTTATTTAGTTAACCATTAACCAATAGTAGAGTTTTAATTTCTTTTTTTAAGATCATAACTTTTCTTTATCTTATAAAAATTACAATAATGATATCTTATTTTAAAATTAAAATCATTACTTCAACTTCATCACTAATTTGAATATAGTGACTCTTTAAGCTCTTGATCTAAATATTCTAGGTTCACCTTTTTCTTTAGGAGGTGTTTGATACATGACAATTTTTCATGTCTAGGAATTATGATTTTCTGAGAATTTCTCAGAAATCGTGATTCCTAAGAGTCATGAAAAATTATTTGGTTGGTGATAAATGTTTTTAAGAATGAATAATGTTATATGAAAATCAATAATTTTTACTACATTAAATAAGCAAATAAAGTAATATGATATTTTTATTGCATAAAAATTTAACTTTTACCTCAAGAAAGTTAGTCTCATACATGAGATTAATGTTTTAAAAATCATATCAATCATCAAATCGATTAGGATATTGGATCAATGGGTTGGAAGTCAAACTGGTGAATAACTAATTAAATTGCATGACCTTGGCCTCTATTAAATTTTTTTTTTAGAAAAATATTCATATCATATATATATATATATATATATATATATATATATATATATATATATTTCATACTTATTAATTTCAATAAAATTCATATTATACCTTAAAGAAACTTTCAAAAAATAATTATATTCAATTTAATACCAACAAAACAACTAAATTATAGTTAGCTTAGTAATCGTTAAAGAGTTAGATGAGTGATTTAGCAATGACATAAATATATTTTTATTAAATGATCTTTTAAATTATTTTATCATTTTGTTATTAATCATTATAATGAGAAAGAATCACTTGTTTTTTATATGTTTATTTTGTTTATTATGAGTTTATACCAAGTCGATCATTTCTCAAAATGACAAAGTAAAATGTTATCGAGATATGTCTTCTAAATGGTTTTTTTTTGTACGAAACACTTATTTTTAGATTATATACATGGTAAAAAAATTAGTATAGTTTTTTATATTAAATTGATGTCTAGAGATACATAAAGAGAAATATTACTTTTACAATAATTTCTCAATTTAAAAAATATGTGAGAAAATATAATACAGTTTTCATATATCTATTGTACTCTTGAAGCAGCAATATCAGAAGAAGAAAAAAAAGATTAAGAAATATCTTAAGATGGTTTATTGTTCCTTGAAGACTAAAAAAAATAATGAGATTTTTTATGCATGAGATCATTTCAACTAATATTATTTAATTCCCTAGAGTGAATATAACAATGTATTATTTTTTGTCTTCTCATATTCAATAATGTGAGAAGTTAATGTCATATAATTCTATAAATATAATTGAACACTCTAGAAGAGTTAATATATTGTTATAAGAAGGAACAAAGTTGCATATATTAAAAATACATTATATTTTTTTAAGTCTTATTAAAACTTATTAAGTTTTAAGGATATTCATTTAAATGGAGACCATATTGAAACAAACAATGAAGAAAATGTAGAATATCTTTATATCACAAAATTTCACTTGAATAAAATGCAAGTACTGGAAAAATTATCCGATTTTTCTTATGATTTGTATTGCATGAATGTTAATATGATTGAAACACATACTATTGTAAACCAGAAGTTTACTAATCAAAATAAATTTGAGGTTTGGCATGACCGATTAGGTCATTCTGGATTTATTATGATGCAAAAAATAATTTAAAATTCATGCAAACACAAATTGAAAAGCCAAGAGATTTTTCAATCAAATATTTTCTCATGTATCACTTGTTCCTAAGGGAAGCTAATAATTAAAACATCACCAACAAAAATTGGAAATGAACCTATCTTATTTTTAGAATGAATATAGGATGATATTTATGGACCAATACACCTCCATATGGACCATTTATATATTTTATGATTTTAATTGATACATCAACATGATGGTCACATGTTTATTTATTATCAACTTGTAGCCAAACATTTACAAAATTATTAACTCAACTAATTAGATTAACAACTCATTTTTCTGATTATCCAATTAAGAAAAATCGTCTAGATAATGCTGATGAATTCACATCTCATGCTTTTAATGAGTATTGTATGTCCATTGAAATTGATATTGAATATCTAGTATCACATGTTCATAATGGACTTGTAGAATCATTCATCAAGAGTTGAAAATTGATTGCACTACCATTACTCATGAGATCAAAACTTCCAATGTCAACTTGGGGGTATGCAATCTTGCATGATGCAGTATTAATTCGTATCAAGCCAACAATTTATCACAAATTCTCTCTTTTGTAGTTGATTTTTGGCAAGTAACCTAATATTTCAATAAGAGTCAAAATCTCAATTGGGCAGTCGAATATTGCAAATGAGTCACAAATATGCCTAAAGTATGGTAGATCAATTGGTTCTAATGATAAAAATCCTCGAATAAAAAAGGGAGCTAAAGAGTAAGATGGTCAAATTGAGAATGTAAAAACTCAAAAAGATTTCTTTGACATAACTAATATTTCAATTCTAGAAGAAACTTAAGTACTTGAAATAATTGAAAATAAAGAGATCTCAATAAATTATGTTATGAATGAAATATGATGGAATCGCAACAATGTCAATGTTGATGATGTATTTGCATATAATATAGCATTAAATGTAATAAATGATATCAAGGATCAAGAACCAAAGTTCGTCAAGGATTTTCAACAAATAAATGATTGGTCAAAATGAAAAGATGCAGTTAAGACAAAACCAAATTTGCTTGCTAAGCGAAAAAGTTTTCAAACAGTAGTACGTACACCTAAAGGTTTAAAATCAGTTGGATACAAATGGATTTTTGTGCAAAAACAAAATAAAAATGGTGAAATTGTGAGATACAAAGCAAGACTAATTGCTCAAGTATTCTCACAAAGACCTAATATTGATTTTGAAGAGACATATTCACCTATAATGGATGCATGTACTTTTTGATACTTAATTAGTTTGGTTGTACATGAAAAACAATTTAAATCTAATGGATGTAGTTACAACATATTTATATGGCTATCTTGACACTGGCATTTATATAAAACCTCTTGAAGGATTTAATTTGCCTAATGGTACAATTTCTAAAAAAGATTACTTGATCAAGTTAAATAAATTCCTATATGGACTAAAGCAACCAGATTGTATGTGGTATAATCGTTTAAGTGAATATTTGTTAAAATAAGGATACAAAAATGATCCAATTTGTCCGTGTATTTTAATAAAAAGACTTGAAAATGGATTTGGCATAATTGGTGTTTATGTAGATGACATAAGCATTATTGGAACTCCCACAAAACTTTCAAAAGCAATATATTAAGTCAAAATACAATCTTGGATCCCTCGAGTTTATAGTTTTAATGCTAACAAATGAAATACTTATATTAAAGAAAATGATCTTTGAAAATAGTCATTAAACGAAGTGTAAGACACAAATCACTTGTAAGACAATGTAAATAAGGCGAAGCATACAATCTCTCTTATATACATTAAAATGTTTATTATTCATTGAGACTAACGACAAAAGTTTCTTGAATGCTTCATTCCTCAATAGATCAAACTAGAAGATTATCTTGAAATTCACAAATTTGTTTAAGAGAACAAGATCATACTTTTTGTCAAGACCAAAGACAAAGATCCTTAGAATCATAAAGAAAAATAGATAAAGTCACTACTATTGTTACACTACACTGATATTACTTCTGCAAGTTTTGTTTAGTATGAAAAGTTGATAGGTAACCTTCTTAATTAGATAAAAGGTACCATTTTGTAAAATACATGTAATGCCCACATTAAATGAATCAAACAATTACTTGCCATCATAAGGAAAGACAATAAAGACAAATGAAACAAACTTGTGAATTGGACTCAAAGTGTAGCAATGGTTATCTTCTCCAAGTTATTATATAAGAAAATTCAAAGCTCAAGAAAGAAGAGAGAACTCACATATAGATACATGTGTATAAAAACATATACTCTTTGTAAAATACACTTGTATATAAACTTCATTCTTTCTTGTAAAAGCTAACTATTCTATATTGGTTGCATAATGTTTAAGTGATACGAACACAACATCTGTGTGAACTTCATAACCATTGTTATAAGGTTGAGTCTAGAGAGACTTGTTTGAAAAAGAACATTTGCTTTAAGCCTAAAGAGACTTAACTGTAAAAGAATATTTAGTTGTTAAGTATAGAGAGACTTGTTGTTGAAAGAATTCTTTGGTACGTAGTTGCTTGAAGAGGCAAGTCAAAGAATACTTAGAATTGAGTCAGAAGTGATTTATTGAAAGAATACTTGTATTTTTGTTTAAAGATAATAGAACTCAATATGATTAGATTGAGAATTGAACATAATGTATGTGATTCAGACGAACTAGTAAAAAACACCTAATGTTTCATCTGACTACTTTTTGCACTACATTTGACTAATGTTACTACTTCATTATGAAAAACATGTGAGTTTTTGATACACTATTCAACCTCTTCCTTCTAGTATTTATCTTTTCTCCACACAATAGATTGACTAAAGAAAGAATTTGAAATGAAAGATCTAGGAAAAACAAAGTTTTGCTTGGGACTGCAAATTGAATATTTAGAAAATGGAATTCTTATGCATCAAAAAGCTTATATAATAAAGAATTCTCAAAAGGTTTTATATGAACAAATTACACCCATTGTGCACTCCTATGATTGTAAGATCTTTAGATGTTAACAAAAATCCATTTAGACCTCAAGAAAATGATGAAAAAATACTTGGTTTTGATATACCATATTTTAGTGTTATAGAAGTACTAATATATCTTACTAATTATACACAACTTGATATAATATTTGTTGTTAATTAATTTGTTAGTAAGATATAGTTCTTCACCTACACAAATACATTGAATGAAGTTAAACAAATCCTTCGTTATATTAGAGGTACAATGGATATGGGGTTATTCTATTCAAATGTTTCTAAACTAGAACTAAATGATTATGCATACGCAATTTATTTGTCAAATCCTCGTAATAGTAAATCACAAACAGAATATTTATTTACAAGTGGTAATATAATCATTTTATGGCAATCTGTAAAACAAACCATAACAATCACTTCATTTAACCATGCAAAAATTTTAGCATTACATGAGGCACTTTGTGATTTTGTTTGGCTAAGACCTATGATTCAACATGTATAGGAAAATTGTAGTTTATCTTTTGAAAAAAATGATATCCGACAATTATATATGAACTTAATGTTGCATATATTGCAGACTTGAAAGTTTGATACATAAAGAGAGATAAAATAAAGCATATTTTACTAATTTTCTTTTTTTACTTATGATCTTTAAAATAATGGTGATATAAATGTTCAATAAGTTCACTCATGTGACAACCTAACAGATTTCTTTATAAAGTCATTTCTAAGAAAAGTTTTTTAAATAGTTGATACATAATATTGGTCCCCATCATCTAAAGGATGACTGTATGTATAAGGGAGAAAAATAAATATTTAAGAATGATATACTTTTTTTCCTTCACTAAGTTTTTATCTCATAAAATTTTTCTTAATAAAGTTTTAACGAGACAAATTCAAATATTGGACATCCAAGGAGAGTGTTATAAATAATAATTAGTGACTTAATTAGTGGATGTTTATTATTATTATTATTATTATATTTTTCTTATGTATTATTTTATTTTTATATGATTATTCAATTACTATATATATGTATTTATAAATAAACTAGTCTTCTTCTAAAAAAAATAATACATCAGTTATATTTTCTCTCTTATACATATCTTTTTATTTATTCTCTTTGTAACATGATTTATTTTAAAATGTTATTATGTGTAACAAAATAATAATCGATCAGGTTAAAACAATTGGGTAATGTGGCCAAAACATGACTCGGAAAGTAAGGAACAAAGGAAAATAAGAGTAATTTAGAACAAATATTCATAACATGTTTTACTATATAGATCTTATCAAATGAACACTTATCTAAATGTTTTAGAGGATTACGAAAAAAATTATGATGTATTTATAAATTGTTTTTATTTTATGTTTTAAAAATTCATGATAACTCATAAAATATTTTACAACTTATATAAATTTAATTTCATCTTATTTTTAAACTAATTAATATATATATATATATATATATATATATTTAAATACTTATTCAATGAAATAACTAATTCATGAGTTATTTTTTCAAACTCACTCTAAAATCTAAATCTAACTTTTGATGACTTGCGATATTCAGTGTGCCTATTAGCTTTGGACGTATCGACTAGGAATCAAAGAAATAGAAAACAGATAATCTCAAAAAAAAAAAAAAAAAAAAAAAGAAACACCCCATGTATCAAAACTTTCGCCTATATTAAAAAAAATAAAAATTCACCTTTATATTCATTTTTTTTCCCCATTATATCGTTGCCCATCTATCACTTTCTTCTTTCAAATTTCAATCCGGCACTTCTCCAAAGGTGTCTACACAGAATGCCCAAACAACATACATACATATAAACGTACTTTCCTTTTGTTATTGTTTCTTTCTTTATTCTGTTTTATTATTTTTTTCTCACATCACGTATTATATATTAATGAAATAAAAAATATACATTTTGAAAGCAAGTATGTATCCACGTAAGAGAAGGGAATAGAGCAAAAAAAAAAGTAATTGTGTGTAAATAGTGAGAAGGTTTCACTTGCAACAGAAGTATTATTAAAAAAACTAGCAAACTATAAAACATGTGAAAACAAAAGTTTAAATAACCTCTTTATATATAATTATAGATATTATTAATTTCTCTCTTTTTTATTTTGTATTTTTTTTCTTCTTCCATTATACACCCTAAAATGATAAGGTATAGGTAATTTATGATTATCTCTTAGAAAAAAAAGAAAAAACTGAAGGTAGTGTTACCGTTGAGTGTGGTGCATGTCGCCATGTGTCGACGTAACAGTGATCTAAATTACGCACAGAACAGAAACTCACACACACTCTTGAAACGCCCACTTTTTAAGAGGCTCTGCTTCCAATCCTATATAATGCCATATTTGCCAGCAAATACACAACGGTTACTTCTAAACCATTCTCATCATCATTATATATAAACCCTTCTCTCCTCTCACACATTATTTCACACTATCTTTCTTCTGTGAGGGTTTCGAGGCATTTCAAACTATGGCTGGTACGAGTCGCAGGTTTGGTGTGGGCGTGTTGGTTTCGATGATTCCTATGATGATGCTTCTTGCTTCTCAAGCTGTGGCCAGGGAATATGTTGTTGGTGGCAAAGATGGGTGGGTGGTGAAACCTTCCGAAGACTATGGTCATTGGGCTCAAAGAAACAGATTTCAAGTCAATGACACTCTTCGTCAGTCCATCTACTCTTTTCCAATTTTAGATTCAACTTAATTACATCAAACACTTCTTTTTTTAAGGGAAAAAAAAAGTATTTCATATAAACTCCCTTTTTTTTTTTTTTTTTTTTTCAACTTACTTCTCACACTATTTTTTCTATGGAAAAGAAACCCACAACACTATTCAGACATTTTTTAGTTTTAAAAAAAACATTATTAGAATTTCTCGTTTTGTAAGCCTAGGTGAAATTGAATTTTAAAGTGTTGAATTCAGGTGAATAAAAGTTGAGAGAGATCTGATATAGTAATGGAATTTTACACCTATAATATTTTTTTTGGAAAGAAAAATCTTGTTTCATTTTTCACACATTTACACCCCGGAGGAATCAAGATCTGATAACTCTTATTTTGATAAATTAAATTTACAATATGTTCAAAAATTTAAAATGCTGGAAATAATACATACCACACATACTATTCACCAAATTCCATTTCATTAAACATCATGAATTCTCAAATTAAATAAAAAGTTATAGTCTAATCATCATATATACATAGTAGATCTAATCACACCCTTCATTTTTCTTTATTATACCATCTATTATATTCATATTTTTCTCCTTTTTTTCTCTCATGTATAATAAATTAGCAAACTTGTAGGAAAATGTAATAACTTATATTATTCACAAAAGTTAATAACATATTTTGTTTTATCACACTCGTTTTTATTAGATAAAATGAATAAATAGGAGAGTGTGTTGATAATTGTTGATATTGGTGTGGTTGCATGCAGATTTCAGGTACAACAAAGGAAGCGATTCGGTGGTGGTGGTGAAGAAGGAGGATTTCGATTCATGCAACGCCAACAACCCAATTCAGAAAATGGACGATGGCGATTCAATCTTCCAATTTCCCAACTCGGGTCTCTTCTACTTCATAAGTGGCAACCCCGACAACTGCAAAAACGGCCAAAAACTCATCGTTTTAGTCATGGCCATCAGAAACCTCCCTCCACGCGCCGCCGCCCCGCCGCCCCTTCCGCCGCAGAAGGTTCCGGCCTCCGCCCTGGCCGCTCCGGCGCCGCCTCCCACCGACAAATCGGCCTCCGGAAGGGTTGGTGTGAGTGTTGTCGGTTTGGTGTTCACTGCCTTTGTTGGTTTGGTTTGGTTTATTTAGTTTGTTGGATGAGACTTTTGTGAGTTGGAACTGATTGATGTGGTCAGAAAATAATGATTGTTTCCCATCATTTGTACTTTCTAGTTTCTATGGCATTGGTGATGAAACTTTGTTCTCATTTTTTTTTCTTTAGGATTTGTCGACATTTGCACGTGTGTTTGTGGTGGAATGCTATGCATAACTCACAAAAGATTATGTTGTGTTCTTGTAATTCTGTATTTTTTTTTGTTTTTTTTTTTAATGTTCCTTTATTTTTCCCATCTTCAAGTGGTTAATGAAAAGTTGATTCATGGCCTGGATTTTAACATAAAAGATATGGTACAATTATGAAAGTGATAGAGTAATTTTCTGTTTTACATATATGAATGATTAAAAACTTTATAGAAAAGAAATACAAGAAACATCAACCCCAATAAACCCTTATAAACGAGCATCCATATGCTATATTTAGCAAGCAAGTATGTAACTTGATTTGTCTCAACATAACGTGCATCTACATCAAACTTTGTTCATTTATAAATGCATATTCTGAATCACAATCACTAGAACATAATAAGAGTGTGTTCTTCGGACACAATTATAATAAACTTTTATCCTCTTAAAGTTTCTCTCCCTATTATGATATATCCCGCGTAACTACACCTAAGTTTGTACATGATAATTGAAAATAAACTAAATTTGTCCAACATCAAGTTAAAATATGTTCTTAAAATCTTATTTACAATAATGTCATTTTAAAAAATGATTTAGTTTGTTCCTACACAATAAATGTTGTCTTAAAATACATACATTTTAGAAAGGATAATCTTGTTCAAAGTGAATAGGACTCTTAATGACAACAACCTATGTGTTTATTTCATCATCCAATGCATGCATTAGATATCAAAATTGCATTAAAAAAAATTAAAATTAAAATTAAGTGAAATTTACAAATGGTTGTGTTTGTAGTAGTGACACACATCAATTTGTAAGTTAGGTTGTATCCTTTTTTGGTAAGTAAAAAAAATTACAATAACAAAAAAATAAATCAAATTTTAAACTTTGTATATATTATCTCAATTTTTCTAATAAACAAATTAGATATATTTAAACACACACCTACAAATAAAAATCACTTTTATCTATATTTTATATAGGAAAAAAATCATGATAAATGCTTTGAAAATCAAAATCACACAAAAAATTTAAAAGTATGCAAGTTACAAATTGTCGATCTTGTCACGACGCACGTCCATTTATAAATAAGGCGTATTTAAACATATGTACAAAAAATCAGTTTTATTTATATTTTATGTAGGAAAAAACACAAGATATGCATTAGAAATAAAATAAAAAAACTTATTTTTATTGGTGAGAGAAATGGTAACAATACATTTTCAGTGACAATTTTTTAAACACTTTCTCATTGATTGAAATTTATTAAAAAAATATATAATTTAGTAAGTTTTATATCTTATTTTAATTTTTTCTCTAATAATTTTATAATTTTTAATAAATTTTAATTAATAAGATTGAGTAGTTCAAAAGATTACTCCCTTTATTCTCTATTATAAGTAGGATAAGAATAAATTAGACTTTAAATAAAGGTATATGACTTGACTGAATAAAAAAATCAAGCTTAAATTTTTTTAAGAAAATTATTTATTTAAAAAGTTAAATTTAGACTTATTGAAAATATTTATTTATCTAATATATATATATAATTATTAATAATATAATTAAATAAATATATTTGTAATACAAAACTTAAATGATTAATGTTTTACATTTCTTGTTCGTACAAAATCAAAAAATAAAAAATCTAGTAGGTGAATATTTGTTTGTTTTTTTCCTTTATTTTCATAGTTGGTTATTTAAAATAATTCAAATAAAATATAGAATATTTAAAATTTTTTTTATAAAATTATCTTATTTCATTACAACATGTAATATTAGTGTATATGATGCATAAGTTGTCTCTCAGTTAATGTTTTATTTTAAATCCTAAATTTTATTAATAATAAAGTATTTTTTATCATGCAAATTTAAAAAAAAATACTTTTCATGCAAATAAAAAAATATCTCATATGAGTATTTAAAAATATAATTATTATCTTATTTAAAATTTAATTTATTAACCTATTTAATGTTGTTTATACAAAGTAATAATTTTTAAATAGACTAATAAATCAGATCAGATTTTTAAAAAGATTAGATTAAACTTATAAAAAAAATCTATAATAGATAATAAGTCAAACTTAAATTTTAATTTTATATAATAAATTTAATTTGTATATACAAAGTCTAATTCTCATCCTTAATTATAAATAATTGTTTTTAAATATAAGTGAATTTTAACTAGTTTTGTCTTATTCAATGATACTCTTCTAAAATATTTCTATTTGATCTTTCAATTGTATTACTTTCTCCGGCATTTATAACAAAAATTATTATTATGTAATTACTTTTACTCATAATAAACAACAGAGGGAATACATTGTTAATAATCCTCTCATCATCAAATACATGCTTGAACATCAAAATCACATTTTTTTTTATAAAAAAAAAATACGAAAGTTACAAATCGTAAATTTTGTCATGACTCACGTCCATTTATAAATAAGACATATCTAAATATGCGATATAACAAAGATCAAATTTACGTGAGAGACATGCATCAGACATCAAAATCCCAAATACAATTCCAACATCAAAATCACATTAAAATTTTAAATATGTGGGAAAGTTACAAATTGTAGATTTTGTCGTCACATGTCCACTATAAATAAGTTGTATCTAAATATGCACTGTAACAAAGACCAACTTTATTTATATTCTCTCTGTAATTTTACATGTGAAATACTAATCTTGTTAAAGAAATAGAACATTGTCCTTACTCATTTGTTTGAGTTAAATTATATATCTAAGTGTGCAATAAAAGACATTAATAAAGAATTTTTTTTTACAGAAGACATTAATAAAGTATTATAAATACATTAAATTATAATTCGATATTTATTCTTACTCTAATAATTAATTATCGGGTTATTTTCATATACTTTTTACATAAGACAATGAAGTGAGATAATAATTTTTTAATTATCAATAAAAAATACTAACTAAAGATAGTTTCAACCGTTTAGAAAATTAAATATTGATTTGAAGATCACTCATAGCATCTGCTTATATATATTTTTTACACCAATAATATAATAAATTTAATCAAAAGAGAAAATTGAACAGGTATATAAGAAATTAGGTAAGTGCACCAACCAAATTTACATTGCCGGCCCAGGATAAAGTTGATTATTCATATATGTTATGAGTGAAATCAAATTCGCCATCACATTTTTTTATATAAATTCAACATTGAGCTAAAAATATTACATTTGATTGATAAAATAAAATCACCCTTAAAATATAATTTATGAACCCACTAAATTAATTATTTCTACCACATTATAAAGTTATATTAAAGTTAAATTTTATTGGGAGAACCAAAACTTATGAATAGAAAAGAATTATTACTCATTGGTTGAGAAATATTTTTGGTGTATAAAAAGATATTATAATGTTATAGATTTTTAATCATTTCATAATCGATTAATTCTATTCATTATTGAATTGATCTTTAAGAAAAACATTATTAAATTAAGAAAGAAATCTATTAAATTAACAATTTGGGTTCGACTTTTCGACGTGTGGTATCTCACATGTTTTGTGGATTCCCATAGTTCCACCAACCTGTTAGTTGCATACTTTTTTTTCTTCTTGCTTTTGTTTTATTTTATTTTATTTTATTTAAAATTATTTAGCATTTCGGGTCTTATTGAGCTATTGGGTCGTTTAAATGATTTAACAATTGTATATTTAAAAATATATCATTGGGCAAGATAGTTAGGTGAAAGCGAAAAGAAATGTAAATATTTTTTTAAAATAAATAACTAACAAGTCAGTGAAATGTTACGGTTGACCTGTGGATTGGTAAGTAGGTCAAATGTACAGAGCTTATAATTTAGAGTTTAAATGATTTTATGTTTGGGAATATATTTATTTTAAATATAACTATTTCTATTTTTTTAAGTTAAAAAGCTTTAAAAAGTTAGTTAAAATATGAATTCAATTTTATAAAATTGATTTGTAAGATAAAAATTACTCTTTATTTATATATATTTTGTTGATCTTATTATTAATCGATATGAGATCTTTAATACATCTATTACGTTAAAGATTAGATATCTTGAATATGAAATTTATAATACTAAATATCTGTGACTGGTCTGATAACGCTCATGTGACTTAGTAAACTCAATAATAATAAATAATTATTAGGATAGAAGTTCTAATATGCTTTGATATATATTATCTTTAAAAATGAATTTAATTCTAAATCAACCTTATAAAATAGACTTAAAAGGTGATAATATAAGTAATATTAATAGTATAATCAAATTTAGGATATTTGTACTTATTTTTTATATATTAAAAAGTATTATATATATGTATATATATATACAATGCATATTAAATCAAATTTCTAGCTGTAAAGACCTGGTTGGATATTATCGGGGTTTAGAATACTTTTCAGGACAGAAATTCCCAGACAAAAAATTGTTGTAAGTTAAACAAGTCAAACCTATAAACTGAACTTGTTTATCTAATTAACTAGTTGTTAGACCAAAATGGTAAGTGAAGGATAGGAAGGCTATGATATAAAAATGAAAGTGAAAAGGTGATGGAATATTATAGTTGGAATGAGACATCAAGATGATTTTAATTTGAGATAACTGTCAATTTGATATTCTGAATTATTAGTTCTTTAGAATTTTAGTTTATGAAATTAATCTCAAATATTTTTTTACTATCATTTTAATCTTCTAAATATTTTATTCTGAAATCAACTTTTTAAGAAATAAATTTGTCACCAATTTCATCTTTCAGATTATTTTTGTCACTATAATTTTTAATGAATACTAATATGATAATATTTTAGATATTATTTTAAACTTAACTTATTGATAAATTAGTTTCTCAAAATTAATTTATTTTCATTATTTTTATCTTCAATACACAAACATCGTAAAATTTTAGATATAATTTTACATTTAACTTAGTTTCTTAAAATCTAATTGTTTTCGCTATTTTGAACTTCAATAGAGACAGGAATTTTTCCAATAAAAGGAGAGTGTGTTGAAGATATATAATTCGAGATTACATGAGGAGAACAAGACTTCCACTAAACACACATACAAGCAGACAAATTCTCAATGGTAATGAAAAAAGTGTAAAGGTATATAAAGCTAAAATTTAGGGGTGAACAAATGGATCCATGAATCGACCCGTAAGTCCATTAAAAATTGATAAATCAGATTATGTATCCTAACCCATCAACTTATCTGATCCATCCTATCTAATCTGCTAGTCCACTGGACCAAAATGCATATGATATACTTTTTTTCACTCTGGGTGACAAAAGTGAACAAAATTGAAAGATTATAATTATATACATTATACTATAAGATCGGTAAATAGCTACAAATTGATAGATTTGTTAAGTAAGCTAAAAGTTTAAATAACATGGATTTTTGAATATAACATATGATAAAAAAAATAAAAAAAACTAACAATCGAAAGAATACTACTTTATAATTAGATATCACATTTTAATTCAGCTATAAAAAACTTAAGGTATAATAATTTTCATTTGTTTATAAAAAAAAGGGCTATTTTAAGTATTGTAAAGCCGGCCTTGAAGAGTTCCACTAAATTCATTATATTTGAACTGAAGACCGTAATATGCAAAGTAAACTACTCAAGAATTCAACTAAGGTGACAGGATCTGAAACTAATCAACATATTATTACCAATCTCAAATACACGACAATTTAATTGATCTAAACGACATAATAATATTGCAGTTTGAGAGCAAGAAAAAAAAAAGAAAAAAAAAAAGCTCCAACTCCCACCATGCACACTTCATAATTTCAAAGACTTCAAGGCCTCCCCTTCAATAAAACAAACTATAAAACGGTGATGCATGCTACGTTCAATAAAACTATTGAGTTAATCTAATATTGAAAATTAAAATATATCTTATCGATAAAACAAAATGTATGCCATGTTAAATAATAAAGGGGTTAAGTTAATTGACTTCAGAATGAATTAATCTAACCCCTAAAGCAATTTAGCTCTTAAATCAGCAATCCCAATCTCAGTGTTTACCCAAACCCAATTACATTGCCTCCCTAAGCAATCCCAATTCCTGGTAAAAATATACTAACAAAAATATTAGTTGAAGTTCATGAAAGATAGTGGAGTCCCCCTCCTAACTCCCGCAAACCATGTAGGGAACTGTGATGAAGTATTAAAAATTTTTACTATCATATTTATAAACTAAAATTTTTGAAATATTTTAAACTTAAAAATAATGAGAACAAACAATGATACACATTTTATAATATGACGTAGTCGAGACAATGATTTTAGTTTTCATTAAACTAGACCCATTTTCTGAATTCGATTTCGGTGGCTCGCGTTTGATTAGATTGGTCTATATGAACAACTTTGCTTTTATTTATTTATTTATTATTATTATTAAACAACTTTGGTTATAATGTCTGAATGGAAGGATTTCACTAAATCAAGGAATAAATGCAATGTGAAACTTACGCTTATACTAATTTTTCGGGTTTCATTCTCATTTGATTTCTATTTTCGGACGATTTATAAGAATTTTCGAGGATTTCTTCAGTGGTTACTCCTTTTTACCAAAGCCTTCTTCGGCATCCTGAAAACAAAATAATTTTGATTCACTTCTCTTTTTATTATCTACACTAGAAGTGCCGAGCATAATACCACTAATTGGTGTCCTAAGCTTTCAAATAAACACTACCCACTCAGAAAGTTCTGATACCTGCTTCAAGTCTTGGTTCATGATCCTTAAGTTAATCATAGGATTATAGAGAGGGGCAAGGAAATCAATTTGAAGAAAAACTGCACCAACGAAAATTATCACCGCATGTGTAATCTGCTCAACTTCAAATCAATATGTGCTTCTAATTAGTGTCCAACAAAGGATCCATTTCCCTTAGTGTGATATCTCCGTTCGTTCTTTTCTCTGCTGCACAGTTTAGAAATAGGAGCTGAGCAGAGTAGTATAAAGTTTCCCCCAACCGTTAAAGTTCACTACATAGCATCTCATCTTGATTTACTATACCCTCATTTCAAATGGTGCTAGTAATTTTCAGTACTACGAGCTTTTGGAAATTTTCTCTTCCTGATGTTCCATTTCCATAAGCCAGTTCTTGTTTCTGGTTGTTTGTTATACGTTTGATCTCAATCTTCCTACAACATTATTTTAAATAATATAATAATTTTTATTTAATAACATGCTTCATTCAACAACAATATTTTTTCTTTCAAATAACAAATAGTGTTAATTAATGCTCTTTGATAATCTGTACATGGTTATTTAAAATGAATAAAATAACCACTTTTGGTGCTTAGAGCACGAAACCTTTCTTCGCATAGGTACCTTGATCTGGCACATTCTTGAGTCATATAACACCCAAAAGAATCAGTGGTGAGTAGATGCATTGACTACCATAGTCATTCCTCGGGAGGAACACCCAGTTTGTTGCTTTAAAGTTTAAACTCAAGGGAAAACAGAGCAAAAAGGTTCAATCACAAGGGAAATATCAATTTGAAGCAGAAGCAACAAAGTGTACATACATTGCATGATTTATACAAGGCAAAAGCAACAAACTGAACATTTGTTCATCCTCTTGAGTGACTATGGCAACAACTCATCCACATCCATTAACCACTCATTCCAATAATCATAGTCTGTCATGTCAAATAGAGATAATGAATTTTTCTATATTTTCTTAACAAAGGTGTCATGAATTCAAACAAATTTCAATTATTCCACGGCATTTGTCAATATACAGAGTGCCAAAAGAACATATGAACAATATCACTATATCACATCCAATTTAATTCTAGTTTTTTCTTATTACCATTGTTTTTTTATCTACATGAAAAAAACGAAGAACACAATATTCAATTAATGTAACGCGGAGGGAGTTCCCCTTTTCTGAGAAAGGAAAGAGAGTACTCAGCGGCATCAATTAGGTCAGCGATGTTGTGCAATGAGCGTTCATCGGAACCCACCCAGAAGATCGCCCGCACCTCCGCCTTCTTCGCCAGCCTCGCCGCGAAGCTCAGCGGCAGCTCCCGGGAGGAACTAATTAGATTAACAACTCATTTTTCTGATTATCCAATTAAGAAAAATCGTCTAGATAATGCTGATGAATTCACATCTCATGCTTTTAATGAGTATTGTATGTCCATTGAAATTGATATTGAATATCTAGTATCACATGTTCATAATGGACTTGTAGAATCATTCATCAAGAGTTGAAAATTGATTGCACTACCATTACTCATGAGATCAAAACTTCCAATGTCAACTTGGGGGTATGCAATCTTGCATGATGCAGTATTAATTCGTATCAAGCCAACAATTTATCACAAATTCTCTCTTTTGTAGTTGATTTTTGGCAAGTAACCTAATATTTCAATAAGAGTCAAAATCTCAATTGGGCAGTCGAATATTGCAAATGAGTCACAAATATGCCTAAAGTATGGTAGATCAATTGGTTCTAATGATAAAAATCCTCGAATAAAAAAGGGAGCTAAAGAGTAAGATGGTCAAATTGAGAATGTAAAAACTCAAAAAGATTTCTTTGACATAACTAATATTTCAATTCTAGAAGAAACTTAAGTACTTGAAATAATTGAAAATAAAGAGATCTCAATAAATTATGTTATGAATGAAATATGATGGAATCGCAACAATGTCAATGTTGATGATGTATTTGCATATAATATAGCATTAAATGTAATAAATGATATCAAGGATCAAGAACCAAAGTTCGTCAAGGATTTTCAACAAATAAATGATTGGTCAAAATGAAAAGATGCAGTTAAGACAAAACCAAATTTGCTTGCTAAGCGAAAAAGTTTTCAAACAGTAGTACGTACACCTAAAGGTTTAAAATCAGTTGGATACAAATGGATTTTTGTGCAAAAACAAAATAAAAATGGTGAAATTGTGAGATACAAAGCAAGACTAATTGCTCAAGTATTCTCACAAAGACCTAATATTGATTTTGAAGAGACATATTCACCTATAATGGATGCATGTACTTTTTGATACTTAATTAGTTTGGTTGTACATGAAAAACAATTTAAATCTAATGGATGTAGTTACAACATATTTATATGGCTATCTTGACACTGGCATTTATATAAAACCTCTTGAAGGATTTAATTTGCCTAATGGTACAATTTCTAAAAAAGATTACTTGATCAAGTTAAATAAATTCCTATATGGACTAAAGCAACCAGATTGTATGTGGTATAATCGTTTAAGTGAATATTTGTTAAAATAAGGATACAAAAATGATCCAATTTGTCCGTGTATTTTAATAAAAAGACTTGAAAATGGATTTGGCATAATTGGTGTTTATGTAGATGACATAAGCATTATTGGAACTCCCACAAAACTTTCAAAAGCAATATATTAAGTCAAAATACAATCTTGGATCCCTCGAGTTTATAGTTTTAATGCTAACAAATGAAATACTTATATTAAAGAAAATGATCTTTGAAAATAGTCATTAAACGAAGTGTAAGACACAAATCACTTGTAAGACAATGTAAATAAGGCGAAGCATACAATCTCTCTTATATACATTAAAATGTTTATTATTCATTGAGACTAACGACAAAAGTTTCTTGAATGCTTCATTCCTCAATAGATCAAACTAGAAGATTATCTTGAAATTCACAAATTTGTTTAAGAGAACAAGATCATACTTTTTGTCAAGACCAAAGACAAAGATCCTTAGAATCATAAAGAAAAATAGATAAAGTCACTACTATTGTTACACTACACTGATATTACTTCTGCAAGTTTTGTTTAGTATGAAAAGTTGATAGGTAACCTTCTTAATTAGATAAAAGGTACCATTTTGTAAAATACATGTAATGCCCACATTAAATGAATCAAACAATTACTTGCCATCATAAGGAAAGACAATAAAGACAAATGAAACAAACTTGTGAATTGGACTCAAAGTGTAGCAATGGTTATCTTCTCCAAGTTATTATATAAGAAAATTCAAAGCTCAAGAAAGAAGAGAGAACTCACATATAGATACATGTGTATAAAAACATATACTCTTTGTAAAATACACTTGTATATAAACTTCATTCTTTCTTGTAAAAGCTAACTATTCTATATTGGTTGCATAATGTTTAAGTGATACGAACACAACATCTGTGTGAACTTCATAACCATTGTTATAAGGTTGAGTCTAGAGAGACTTGTTTGAAAAAGAACATTTGCTTTAAGCCTAAAGAGACTTAACTGTAAAAGAATATTTAGTTGTTAAGTATAGAGAGACTTGTTGTTGAAAGAATTCTTTGGTACGTAGTTGCTTGAAGAGGCAAGTCAAAGAATACTTAGAATTGAGTCAGAAGTGATTTATTGAAAGAATACTTGTATTTTTGTTTAAAGATAATAGAACTCAATATGATTAGATTGAGAATTGAACATAATGTATGTGATTCAGACGAACTAGTAAAAAACACCTAATGTTTCATCTGACTACTTTTTGCACTACATTTGACTAATGTTACTACTTCATTATGAAAAACATGTGAGTTTTTGATACACTATTCAACCTCTTCCTTCTAGTATTTATCTTTTCTCCACACAATAGATTGACTAAAGAAAGAATTTGAAATGAAAGATCTAGGAAAAACAAAGTTTTGCTTGGGACTGCAAATTGAATATTTAGAAAATGGAATTCTTATGCATCAAAAAGCTTATATAATAAAGAATTCTCAAAAGGTTTTATATGAACAAATTACACCCATTGTGCACTCCTATGATTGTAAGATCTTTAGATGTTAACAAAAATCCATTTAGACCTCAAGAAAATGATGAAAAAATACTTGGTTTTGATATACCATATTTTAGTGTTATAGAAGTACTAATATATCTTACTAATTATACACAACTTGATATAATATTTGTTGTTAATTAATTTGTTAGTAAGATATAGTTCTTCACCTACACAAATACATTGAATGAAGTTAAACAAATCCTTCGTTATATTAGAGGTACAATGGATATGGGGTTATTCTATTCAAATGTTTCTAAACTAGAACTAAATGATTATCAATTAAGAAAAATCGTCTAGATAATGCTGATGAATTCACATCTCATGCTTTTAATGAGTATTGTATGTCCATTGAAATTGATATTGAATATCTAGTATCACATGTTCATAATGGACTTGTAGAATCATTCTCTTCACGTTCAACACAATTTCTTTAGTGTTCGATGATAATTTAAGCAAAATTAAATCTTTCACCTTACACACAACACCATTTAAATCACATCCAATGTGATTAGATTAGAGGCTATTCTCTATCCTTGTGTCTAACGTCACTAATCTAGCACTTGACATGAGCAAGACAAAATACCCCTAGTTTGAGCCTTACTCAATACTATGAGGGTGTGTTCAACGTAATATTGAGTTATGTATTTGCAGACTGATGAATTGCCCTCCTTTCACTTGAAAACTAGACAATCCCATACATGCAACAAGTAATAACATACATAGGAACTTCTAAAAACTCAAATCCAACCTCAAAATCAACATGCAACACCAAAAATCTTGAGTTAAACGTTTTATTTTAAGGTTCTCTAATGTCAAAACAAAATTCTTATAATTATCTCCTATAAAACAACTCACAAATAAATAAAGTTAAATATACGAAACAAATACAATCTACAACAATTATAATATATATTATAAATCCTGATATATATAAGCTCAGCGGCAGCTCCGGCGAGTTCAGCCTACGCAGTATTTGCCTGTACAGCGACAGCACCCGCGCCCTGTTCCGGCCCAAATCCTCCGCCGTGGCCCAAACCCGGCCCATTACGCCCTGCAACGCACAACTAACAATTCAAATGGTTCGCTCGTGCAGTGAAATTGAATTCATTAATTAGAAAGAGGCGCGTGGTGGTGGTGGTGGTGGTGGTGGAGGAAGGTGAATCAGAAAGAACGTAGCGATGGAAAATTGGATCATTTCAATGATCACTCATCCTCTTTTCATCATGTTCACCTTCACAAACCACAACACAACCACACGAGAGAGAGAAGAACAATGAAACACTACCTGAATCGAAGTTGCGATGAGAGTGAGGACTGTGTCGAACGTCCATGACGGCTTTTAAAGCGCTTCCATTGCATGAAGCCACACAAACCCTAGCTCCCAGCTTGGACCAAGCCTTTTTTCTTGTCTTTTGGGCTTACGGCCCAATTTATTAGTTCCAGTTTTTTTTTTCTTTTTTTCTTTTTTCTTCCGGTTGTTACGTTCTAACTAATGAACATAGGAAGTAAAAGGACTTTGTTAAAAAAAAGTTTAATTACAATTTTTTTTTAGTTTAAACTATATTTTATTTTGGTTTTAAATATTTTTAGGAAATTAAGCTTTGTCTATTTTTAAAATTAAATTAATTTGGTCCTTTTTTATACTTATAACTAATGGTTTTTATTTTATATTCAAGTTGTTAGAGATTTATAATGTATTTACAATGTCAAATGAATCGAAAAGTTTATAATTAAGAAATTCAATCGAAGTTTAATAAAATTTAAAAGATTTAGTAGAATGTAAGACTGTTTTGTATTGTTATTTTGACCAAACTGGGAACTCTGTCACCCTCAAGTAATCTCACATTATAGTAAATATTGTAATTTAAAATTTAGAAAATTAAATAAATATTAAAATAATACATTATAAATAAGTAGACCTTAATTAACTGGTTGAAGAATAAGTGAAACAACATATAACTTATTTTTTAGAACACCTTATAACTACTTAAGAAAGGGATTTCTATTTATTGCAAGAGGACACAGTAATAAATATAACTCATATATAAGTAAAAAAAAATATATATAATTTTCATACTTAAATATAAATAAATTTTAACTGATTTAATTATATTTAATGTCATAATCTTAAAAATATCTTTTAAATTAAATGTAATGACTTGTCATAGAAGGTAATTCAGTAAGGAATCTCCTACCTCATCCACACTTGATATTATTCAATCTGTATTTGACATGACTAAGATAGAGAACTCTTGTATCCTCACTCTTGACATGACAAAGTTCCACACTAGCCCCAAATTAGGAAGAGACGAGTCACTCTCTTCAGGCTTTTTGACCAAAGTGGGATTGTTTTAAAAGTTTATTACGTAAATGGGGTTGTTTTGAAACTATTTACGCCTTTGGGGCTGTTTATAACGGTGTCGCTATGGGCCATAGCGACACCGGTGACACGTGGCATTTTTTTCACTTCAGGGAAGCCATGAAAGCCATATAGATAAAGTCGCTACAGCCCATAGCGTCACTAAACGGCTTAAATAAAGTCGCTATAGCCCATAGCGCCACCAAACGGCTTAAAAAAAAT